TTTTTTTTGCGTGCATGGGTCTTCAATTTTTTTGTCTATCGGCGCCTAGAATGAGTTCCGTGGCTGCTGTAACCACAACCAATTGAGTTTCCGACATCGAAGGGCCGTGACTGTTGTTCATCACGTCTCTGAAAACATACCACGATGAAGACCCGTTCATCATATACCACAAAAGTAGACGACGTGATGACCTGGTTCACAAACATCTGTACAACCAACATGACATTGGCTCGATCATCTCAAGTCATATCCGCTCTTGCGTCCTAGTGCAAAACCGTGCCTTTCAAGACGAAGACGCAACAGATATGGCTGCCCACTACTCTGTCATCACTGTGTTGAAGGTTTTGACGATCATCACCACACTGATGATGCGAGTCTCACTGTTCCCAGACTGGAACCGATGGCGAAAGAACCGAAGTACTGCGGACATGTCAGTGCTGCCGTGCGTTATGATATTCGGCAATTCATACGGTGCGGTGTTCTACGCCTACGCGATCAGCAACTACTTACCGCTATTCGCGACGTCAATGCTCGGAGTCATCGTTGGAGTATTCATGACTTACTCATTTTATATTTGGGCTACTGATCGGCGCGAGGTGGTGAGGATCTTCGCCATCTCCGCGTCCGTGTTCCTGGCGGTCACAGTCTACGGTTTTCTCGCGCTCAGTGGCGTTACTGGACAATCAAACCACTCAACTGAGACGACTTTAGGTTTCATCATGGTTGGATTCACGACACTTATGTACGCATCACCGATGGCCACAATCATCCGAGTCGTACGAACCAAGACCGCGACGTCAATGCCATTCACCATGGGCGTCGTGAACGTGCTGAACAGTTTCTGTTGGGGCGTCTACGGTGAGCTGATTCGCAACAACTTCCTCTTGGTTCCGAACATCATCGGAGTGACGCTGAGTCTCACTCAGATGCTAGTCACCTTCATCTACAGGAGCAAAGAAGTGAATGACAAGCAGTCAGTAGCTACCTCAAGTGAAGACCTGGTTGATATTCTTGTTGTTCCAGGCGATGAAGACACTGGCAACGATGCAGATTGTACGAAGCTACCAGACTTTGTGGCACTACAATCTCCTTATCCTCAGGATAAGTCGTGGCAGGACCCTAAACCGAACGATAGACAGCAATAAACGCTGCACTTCTCTCGCTACTGTGGTGTGAAGATAATAGTGCATAAAGAAGAAGACACGATTTATAACCCTTAACATATTATGATATTTTCTTTGTACGCTTCGATTATCTACCAATGATTAGAGATTGCAGTATTTAATTACCTTGAAAATATGTATTCAAAAGAATTATTATTGTGTTGAGATACTAAAGCTTGTCAGACCTACATAGATGGTGCAAAGTGCGACCAATCATACCGGACGAAGCAGTCTGAGCTGCACATCCTTCAGGCAGTGCTGATCGAACGGCGTGTTGCATTCTTCAGTTTGCATCCAGACTCGCTGCACACACATCTCCATAGACTGCCAGCTTCATCCAGATCAACTATCTTATAGACGACCATGAGCGGCAACGACACGGCCATCCTCGTCTTCAAGATCATCACTATCGTCACGACCGTCATGATGCGCTTTTCGCTGCTGCCAGATTTCCAGCGGATGCGAAAGATGAAGAGCACAGGCGACATGTCTGTGCTGCCCTGTGTGTTGCTGTACGCCAACTGCTACTTGCTGTGCTGGTATAGTTACGCCGTGGACAACATCATCCCGCTATTCCTGACTGCAGCACTCGGGGTCATTTGCGGAGCCATCCTCGCTGTCTTCTTCTACAAGTGGACAGCACACAAACGCGATGTCATGAAAATCTTTATAATATCAGGCGTGGTCATGATTCTAGAAACAATTTACGGTGTGATAGCGTTGCTGGGATGGTCAGGTCAAAGTCGGTCGTCTACGGGTACAACACTAGGTGTTCTCGTTATCATTTCGTCCGTCGGACTGTACGCGTCGCCGATGGCTACAATTCGACATGTGATTCGGACCAAGACATCGTCTTCAATGCCTTTCACAATGGGCGTTGTGAACGTCATCAATAGTTTCTGCTGGGTCGTGTATGCTATCCTGGTCGACGACGTTTTTATCTTGGTCCCGAATGCGTCAGGAGCACTATTAGGCTCGATCCAGCTCATCCTTACGTGTATTTATCCGCGTAAAGCTCTGCCTGATGGCCAGATCATTTCTGGGACGATCAATGACCCTCACGCTGGTTCGACCGTCTGTGGTGAGCTGGCGGCGCTGTCAATCGTAGTGCACTCTCCACTTCAGGACAATCGAAAGAACAAGAAGAGCGACGCTGTTGATGGCTCAAGTTTTGTTGCGCTTAGATCTCCCGAGTCATGAAGAATAGAATTAATCTTTAAAAATCAAAATGTGACGATAATGCCGAATGATCTAGACACTCGTTTAGAGGGTCCACTACACAGCATTCACTATGGTCGCGTTGTTCATTGGAAACGGAAAATAGATCGAGCCCACTTGATATCCAATTCGTGCCGTGCAGTACTGCAGTACTGCAAGCGTGTGAAATCGAAATGAAGATGACGTTGGTTGGGTCGTTACTCAGTAAAAGAGTAACGACTCCACCAACGTCATCGTCAAATGAAGAGTTCTTAGCGCCTGCGAAAGGTTAAAATCTAGTTAGGATCGATGATGAAGTATGGGATGCTGATATGAGGACAGCGAAGCTTGGATTATCAACATTTTATATACGAGGAGTTTGTTTGCACATAATAGTAGTTACTCACCATTCGACTCTCCCCCCGTCCCGAAATCGAAACAAGGTCCAACTTTTTGATCTGGAGAGAAAAATGCCACAGAAAATGATCCTTTGTCCTCGGCATCTTCAATCGAAAAGGGGTTTTTAGGTCTGTAGATATACGTAAGAATCAATTGGATGCAACCCAAAATGAATCCCACAATATTAGGGCCCAGAATGAACATGTTGTCGATCAAAACGGCGTACGTCCCCCAACAAAAGCTGTTGAATACGTTCACCACACCCATCGTAAAAGGCATAGAAGACGCCGTCTTGGTTCGAATGACCTTTGCGATCGTAGCCATTGGTGACACGTACAGACCGATTGTCGTCCCAATGGTAATGAAACCCAGCGTTGTACCAACTGAAGCTTGAGATTGACCCGTCCATCCATGCAGTGCAAGGACACTATAGACCGTCACGAGCACGCACACGGTAAAAGAGCCGATGAAAGCACACACGACGAACCGTTTGTCGACAGCCCATTGGTAGAAGAAATAGTTGAAGAATACTCCCGTGACGATGCCCAAAATCGAGATAGCAAACAGAGGTACGATGTTATCGATAGCGAGGGCATAGAACATGACAGCGTAGCAATTCGTAAACAGCAGCAGACAAGGCATCACGGACATCTCACCGGTACTCTTGTTCTTGTACATGCGTCGAAAATCTGGGAGCAGTGAAACTCGAAGCATTATAGTCGTAGCAATGGTCAGCCATTTGAAAACGTCGACCCCAATCTCGTTAGTGTTCATCTGACCAAAACAATAATATCGTAGTGGGTGTGATGTAAAAGGCAAATTCGGATATGGTCTTGACGCCCGTTAAAAAACCGGAAACTTATAGGCTTCGGCTTTCGTGAGGAAGAGGACAGTTGTAGGCAGATAAGGGCGGAAATCGTAATGCTGGATTGCTCTTACAAATTTTGCTATCGGGAACGAACTAGTGCGTAAGATATCGGCTGCCATGTTACCTACGCTCGGCTGCTTTCGCATCCGTTTCAAGGCCTCTTAGAGAGATACTTTATGCACGATTATTGTCGCGTTGCCGTACACGTTTCAGTCTTTAACGAAATAGCTTTGATAGCGTAACGAACACGTTCCTTATACCACTTATCCCTACTTGTTCACAAGGACTTCCAAATGATCTACTATCGTAACCTCACAATAATGTATTATCGTTTGAATAAATTTTTGTACAGTAAATTACTGCAGTCTTCCGCTACTCCTCATTTCTCGCCACGACCTGGTGTCCTCTCTTGTTGGTGAACGCATCGCAATGAAGCTGGGACTCTTCCGTCCATCGACCGAGCTCAACTTCCTCTCATGATCGCCGTCTTGAATAGGTGAAAGTACAACGACCGATAGTGCTGGTTCGTCCGTATGACTATCAACTGCTATCTCCTTCGCTGCTCTCGGGTAAATGAAGGTGAGACTCAATTGGATAACACCGAGCGTGAAGCCAGCAATATTCGGAGCCAGAATAAACGCGTTGCCCACTAATGCAGCATAGAACCCCCAGCAGAAACTGTTGAACACTACGACGACTCCCATGGTGAAGGGCATCGAGGACGCTGTCTTAGTCCGGATAACATTCACGATTGTAGCCATGGGAGACGCGTACATAACGATCGTCGTCGTGACAGTAATAAAACCCATAGTAGTCCCCACTGCGTCTCGAGTTTGACCCGTTTTACCAGCGAGAGCGAGAGAGCCATAGATCGTCACTATGATACAGACGACGAAAGACCCGATGAAGATCTTCATGGTAGCTCGCTTGTAGTCTGTCCATTGGTAGAAGTAGTAGGCCAGGATCCCTCCCACGACTACTCCGAGCACTGAAGTTGCGAACAACGGGAGCATATCGTCGATAGCGTACGCGTAGTATAGTAAAGCATAGCAGTTCGTGTACAGTAGAACGCAGGGCATGACGGACATGTCGCCTGTGTTGCGGTTCTTGCGCCATCGGTTGAAGTCCGGCATGAGCGAGATTCGCAACATGATGGTAGTGATGATAGTCAATACTTTGGCTACGATCACGGCCGTGTCGTGTCCGCTCATTGTTAAACGGATAGAAGCGTGGCTTTGTGTTCTCGAAGGTAACACGACAAGTGAACAGGGAGTTGAGCCCGTGGGTGACTTTCGTTCGGACGCGAGTCAGATATCCGTGCCACGAGGATGTGCAGTGGTCATCTAATCAGCGCTAATGACTCGGCGACTGGCATTTCGCAGGTCGTGCGTGCCACAAGAAGAGGAGCGCAAGGCGTTGCGAGCCAACCGATTCCTGAGTGCGGGTGGTATCAGAGTAACTGTCCAGACGTTGGTGGATATGCTGAAGGTGCAGGATCTTAAGGTGATCGCTATACTGGTGTGGAGCGAACTATGACATGTGAGCGATGCGCAGGAACCGTCAGCAGCTCAAAGTGGCCGTGTCGTCCGTCGTCTTCATGAGGTGGAGACCGTGGCGATAAAATAACTGACCGAGGCTTGGAGCAACGCGGACTAGTGGCGAATCATCGCACCTGGTAGACTGGCAACAGGTGCCGGGGACACATGTGCGTGCTAAAGTGGATGGAAGGCCGAAGGGGTCTCACACCGCCACAAAGGCGAGCATGGATATTCTTGCAGCTTTTCTTGTGATGCCGTGCCGTATCCGCCGTCATCGCTGTGTTACTCGAAGACTGATAGGACACAGTATGGCCGGCATGGCGATCTTGCTGCGGTGCAGTAACCTTTGCCGTTACCAAGATTGTAGAAGGGCACGTCGATCCGTCGATGTCTTGTTGTGTGTGTGTGTGTGTGTGTGTGTGTGTTTTCTTCTTCTAAAACCTAGAAGAACAACGAACGAGTGACGAACTGGGCATGAGTTGCTACTATTTGGATTGCCATATCACCTTACTAAGGAAAGTGAAAGCGAACGCTGCGTGGTTCACGACAACTCATTAGAGTTACTTAGGCTACGGTAGTCTGCTGGAGTCTAACGGGAGAGCGGACTGCTACGAAGTCGAGGATGTCCTTAAGATCTAAAGAGCTCTTCCTGCCCAGAGGACCTTCTTGTGTGTTGAATAAGATTGATATCGAGGCCTCGTCAGGGTGGTCGATCATGAAGGACTGGAGCCGCATCGTTGATGTCGGGTAGATGATGTAGAGGATCATCTGAATCGTCGTCAGCACACAGCCGAAAGCGTTCCGGAGCAGCACCCAGACGTCCACGATAATGACCGCGTAGACTACCCAACACACGCTATTGAAGAAGTTCGCAAGACAGAGCGTGAGCGGCATTGAGGCCGTCGATCTGGTACGTATGATCCTTCGTATCGTTGCTAACGGAGCCCCGTACAGGCCAGTGGACGTTCCGATAGAAATCGCACCCATGGCTAGGACTTTGACTGCTTTGTGGCACCAGCAACGCCAATTGCGCAGTATAAACAAACCAATACGATGACGATGAAAACTGTAGCGCAGATTTTGTGAACAGAGCGCTTGTTGTCCGTGTAGCGATAGAAGATGGCGATGAATCCTCCGCAGGTGATAACACCCATGATTGCCGTGACGAAGAGAGGGAAAATGTTCTCAGACAGGTAGCCGTACCACACAAGTACGACGCAATTGGTGAAAAGCATAACGACAGGGAGGATCTGCACCTCGCCCGTTGTTTTGGTCTCGTAGACGCGCTGAAAATCGGGCCAGGGAGCGAATCGCACGAAGATGGATGAGGTAACCGGCAACACTTGGAACGTGGCCTCCAGAGTGCCCATGGTACTTTAGCCGTGTGTGAAAGGCTGGTAAAGGTATAATGACTGGACAAATGCATCTTACCACGACCTGACACATGCGTCAAGAACAACACTGCGCCGCGCAAACTTCGATATTGTGGCGCGTAAGCTGCGTCGCTTCAGATGCGATTTTCATCCAATGAAAGAAGAGCAACTTGCCACCTTTCTGAAGCAGAAAAAAACTACTGGCATTAACACTTACCAACCGCAGAAAGTGATTGTAAAACAGCCATGCAACTTCAACTGGGCGTTGTCGTAAGGCGCCTTCTGGATTGGGTTGCTGCAATTCGTCATGTAACCGTCTTCTCCACGACGTTTCACTCAGCTGTCGAGTCTGCTTGTTCTACAGCGAATATAACTACCTATTCACCATTTAGCATTTACCAACGTTAAAGATCCATTCGACGTAATAGACTACCCTCCTTGTCTACAAGGGTTTTGCCATCTTCATCGCTGAAATCCTGTGGATTTCTTTCAGCCCGATTTCCCCGGCAACGCAAGATTCAGATCGAGGCAGAGATTG